CCTATCTCTTTTCTTGCCTAAAAATCAACGTAGAACTCTCAATGTCTTTTTTGTTGTAAATATTCCCACAACACGTTTCAACCATAATAATTTCCCAGTACTACAAACTTCTAAGAGAACCAGGCCTCGTGGTCTGGTGGTAAAGGAACCTCGGCTGAGGTGTCCGCCATCACGAGTTCGAGTCCCGGCCACAGCGGATTTAACATGGTTTCCGTTTGGCCTTCAGAACCCCTTCGGGGGATAGTCGGGTCTCTAAATAAGCCCCGGACACCTGAGTTATCAAAAAAAAAAAAAAAAACTTCTAAGAGTTCAGTTATATGTTTATTTTATTTTTAAAAAAATCTTTTTATTGTTTCTCTTTTCCTGTGTATTTTTTGTGGTAAATTTTCATTTCCCTTGCGTTTACATTTGTTAAAAGTGCATTTTTATTTATTAAAATCATCCTTAATTATCAAATTCTAAAGGCACAGTAAAACAAATGAAACATGAAATTTCCGTTAAGTTCTGATTTTTGCTTTAATTATTATATTGTAAATGCGAACATAATGTTAATATGTCGATACAGACAAAGATTAATATTTGGTATCGAATAATCCAGTCCATTAACTATTTTTCTTTATTTATTTCTTGTGTTTAAACTCAATTTATTTTGTTTCAAGAAGAAAACTCAATTTATTTATGTAAATTGACTTACGGTTTCGATTCCGCTTAAGTATTTTTTTAACTGATCGGTTTATGTATTTCTTAGGACATCTCCAACCTAATTTAACTTTTACTTTAAAATGGAATAAAAGTGACTATGGAATAAAAATGCTCAAACTCTACTTTATATATGACTCCATAATTAATGAGATTTACACCATAAATGAAGTAATCTATTGTTTCTTAATTCACTACTCTATTATAGAGTTAGAAATAAACTGAAATTAAAACATTTTTACTTTAGTCATTTTATTTTTACTCTATTTTGGAGAAAAAAAAAAGTCTTACATTGGAGATGGTTTTAGTATTTGCTGGTACCTTGTGTTCCTTTGATGATTAATGCAATTTCACAGATGACAAAAAAAAAAGTCAATTTCTTCCGAGTCCCAAAACGCAGAAATAGCACTGTGAGCCTTTGACATGAAATTATCAGAGTACAATTTTATGTTACCACGATTTTCCACATTTTTGTGTACACATTTGTTGTTCATGAAATTCTTGTTCCACATATATTACAAATTTGTATATAGAGGCGGCATGGCATGGTTTGGTCCATGCACATGCATTTAGGTAGAAAAGCTTAGTATATTCTCCGTATTTTGAATGCTATTTTGTTATATCTCACGACTGCATCTATATATATATATATATATATATATATATATATATATATATATATCAAAATAAATAATTGATCCCAAAAAGTCCAGCAAAATAAATCAATTTACGAAACTAAGAGAGATCTAATTACAAACAGATGCATGGAAAACATGAATGGCACAGTCAAACTTTCTGCACAGCCATTCGTACACCTAAAGCAAATATAATGTTCCTTTTTATGCTTGTAAAAGCGGAAAATAAATTTTAATTTGTAAACAAAATGTAAACTTTCACAGAACCTTTAAAAAGCTTAAAGATGCTTATTTGACCAGGAAAATCAGTAAGCATTTTGTTTTTGTTTTATGCATGGACGTTATTTTTACCTACATGTGTGGTTCAGTTTTGTGGATTTAAAATATACATATATGTATATGTATATCTTTTGATTAAATTGTTTTCTTTGGAACATCTGCTCTTGGTAGGATTGGGCAAATAAACCGAACCCGAGAGCTCGAACCAAATTCGATCTAATAAAAATGAATCCGAACCGATCTAAACCTGATTTAAATACCGAATGGATTTTGTTTTATGATATTTCGGGTTATGGGTACTATCCGAACCGAATCCAAAATTAAATGAATATCCAATAGAACCCGAAACATTCAAATTTTTTAATAAGAACATGTACTAAAGATGTTCTTAATTCCTAATATATATGCAAAATATTTTAAGATATTACTAAACATCTAAAATAATTATTTGTTACATGAATGTTGATGGTTGAAGTGGCGGTTGAAACTTGAAATTTATAGATTAAGGTTTTGTTTTTATTAAATAATGTTTCTTATTTTTTAAGAACTTGGTTTTCATTTTATACTTTCATTTATTTAGTTTTCTTTCTATTAATAACTATGTTTACTTTTCATTTGATTTTGAATGATCATGATGTTCCTTTCTTATTTTTGAAGCAATTTTACTTATGTTTTGGTTACAAAATAGTTACACATCAGGTACTTTAAATCTAAAGAACCGATTTTACATATGTTTTGGTTACAAAATGGTACAAATCAAGTATTTTAAAACCAAAGAAACGATTGGGATCCAAATCCAAAAGTATAACGGGTTATACTGGTTCTTTAAAGATTTAAATAACCCCGATCCGAACTCGATAAAACCCGAACCGATCCCGAACCGAACTTTCAAATAATCCGAATGAAACTAATTTTGATAAATCCGAAGAACCGAGATCCGATTGGACAAAAACGAAACCCGATTGGGATCCCGAATAATGCCTAGCTCTTGGTTTTGTAATATATTTTACACAGAAAGTTCGCCTATCATTTATACATTAATATATTGGGTATATTATTTAGATATACATGTATGAAAACCAAGAAAATACAGAAATGTTTCTAATGCATTATGTTTATAATCAATATATAAGTATAATGTTTTGAATAAAATTAGTGTAAATGAGCTAGATATTTGATTTGTTGTTATATGGTAGGTGTTTCATCATTATGAGTTCGGAACTCAGAAGTGTTAAAGTAGTTTGGGTTTGCGATGAGGAAAAATGGGTCAAATCTTTTGTTGCTATATACTAAACATACACAACGGTTCTATTATCCGTGGTAATATAATGTGAGCTCTAATTTAAGAGAATTTTGCGTATTCCACAAACTTCCCCTCTGAAATTTACAGCTCTCTCTCCTCAGTCAGCTAAAACAGTTGATCCTGTTTTCATTTTCATTTTGTTGGCACCTATTTGGTTAAACTAACTTTGGGTCTGATGAGATGATTTTGCGAGGAACACTTTTATCCCGTGTTCTAAAATGCTGACGTCTAACCGATTAATCACCCGGTTAAGCGCTCGACGATAAAAAAAAATTTGTCTAAAATTTAATAATGGATTAGCAAAGAATCGATTCAGGACCTTACACATCGTCAACATCATCAAGAACCAATAGACCATGACATATTTTAATATTTTTGCATATATTTTGTATATATAGATAAACTTTTGAAATTATCTTGTAGATTCCAAATATATCAATTTCCGAAACAAAAGTTATCTAGTCCATCGGGTTCCAGGTTTCTGACTTGAAAACTTTAAATTATTACTATTTAAAAGGTTGAAAAAGGACTTGTTAAAAATAAATGGCAGTCGATGAAAATAAAAGTGTCGGTATCTAAACGCGTAAGATTGATTAAACCAAAATAATTTAGTGAATAATAGATAAGATCTGATAGAGATTCGAGCGGCGAGATAGTTAAGGGAAAGAGCATCGCCCAACAGACAACAATGATTACAGTTTGATATTGTTCTTAATTATTAAATCTAATGAACTGAGCATTTTCCTGAAAAGTGAAGTATATGTGGTTATAGAGTGTCTTTATGCAATACAAAAATACAAATCAGAAGGAAATAAGAGGTCTTAAAATCAGGAACAAACGTGTGGGTTGTCTCTGTCTCTTGTAAAAAAATACATGTCATGCGAATACATGACCGACCAACCAAATAACTTAATGTAATTGCAAAGTCATTTAGCTACAATTTGTGTTGGAACGTATTTTTGCATTAGCATATTTTTTTGTATTGAAGCATTTTCAAATATTTTTCTGGCATATTTTGTATGATTACACAATAAACATTACGGGTAGGCCCTACACTGATGAATATAAAGGGCCCATGGAGCCGTAATGGGCTTAAAGGTGGACCACTTCTGATTCATAAAAACCAGGCTGTCTAACGTGCAGCTGTAATCTACGTGTCATACCGTCATTAAGATAAATTCTTCAATTCTTACTAATATAAAAGCGAATGAATCTAGTGGTCCAGTATTCGTTCCATAAAAAGCCTATATGGTAACAGTGCATCCATGATATCAAAAGGCTCGTTTTTAACTTAACTACATAAATGTAAAGGTAATGCGATGATTAAGGAGGTAAATGAATGATTAAGTATGACACGTGGTGAAATCTCAACGGAGCGATTATACAGCTGCGAATCTGAAGGGTTTGACGTAGACTTCTGATCTTTCCCCAGCTTTTAATTAGCTGGCTGTTAACGGGCAACTCTCAAACCCCAGAAAATTGCATTTCAAGGAAACCCTATTTCTTTCAAGACAAAAAAAAAGAGCAATATACTGTTGTAACTTATGAACGAGATGTATATTAATTAAATTTAATTATTAAAAATCGAAGAAAAAAATATTGAGAGATAGAGAGAGGTGCGAGTAGGGGAGAAGTCATCTTCTTTATTGCTTCAAGAATAAATCTTCTTCAACCTAATGATCACTCTATTCTTTTAGGATTCTTTAAATTTGTAACTCTTTTTTTTTTGTAATGATATCATTAATAACATGAAAAAGAGTCAATTATCATCTTCCCTATCTTTAATCTATTCAATAATTGAATTAAAAGGTGGACTGAGAATTAATTAACACCTTGTAGACCCCTAAAATAAAAGAAAACATGCCCTTCTTTTCTTTACATAGGACAGTGAAATGGTTTAAGATAAATGTGGTTGCTTCATCTCTCTCTCTCTCTCCATCTCATTATCATACTCAGTGTGAATGTATAATTTGTATACATTAGCTATAAAGACAATGAAAGGGAAGATATAAAAAAAAACACCTAGAACCGAAAAGTACAAGACACCAAATCCTCCATCTTCCTTTGTTTTTTTTTTTTTTTTTATCTCTTCACCCAACTTAGCCAACGAAGCACACAATTCAACTTCTTCTTGATTTCTTCAAGAGTCACACAGAGACACGTGAAGGTACGATCTTTTATCTCTAATCTCTTCAAAGTTTCCCTTTTTTTCTTCTGATCTGAGTTTATGCTCTGTTTGTGACAAAAAAAAAAATATGCTCTGTTTTTTTAATACTGTTATGCTCTGTTTTTACTTGAATACTGTTATGCTCTGTTTTTTTCATCAGCTTATGTTAGTTCTCTGTTAATAACTGAATCTAGCTGAGTTCGTTGTGGTTTATGTCCAATTACTCGTCTTTTAGTAATAACAGAAAGTCAAACCATGTTCTTGTTTTAACTGATTGTTCTTAGAAAACGGTTCTGAACTATCTTTTGATTCAGATTTAGAGTTTGGTTTAGGTAATGGAGAGAGGAGAGAGCAACGACAGGGGTAAAAACGACTCTGCTGTCATTCAAACGTCACCGAGGAGTCCTTTAAGTTCCATAGATCTCGCCATGGACGGAGCCATGAACGCTTCCATCGAGCAGCTTTATCACAATGTCTGCGAAATGGAGAGCTCCGATGATCAATCCCCTTCAAGGGCGAGTTTCATTTCCTACGGAGCTGAGTCAAGAATCGATTTGGAGCTGAGGCATCTCGTGGGAGGAGATGTTGTAGAGAGAAAGAAAGAAGTTGTCTTGGAGAAGAAGGAAGAAAATAAAAACAGAGGAGATAGCTTGAGTAGCAAGAAACCTAGTGAAACTAAGAAAACAAGCCCTAATGCGAAATTGAGGAACTCTTCGAGAAAATCTCCAGATATCAAGAAAGTTTCTGTTGACGAGGAGAGTCCTGATCTAGGACCCTTGTTGTTGAAGCAAGCAAGAGATATGGTTTCTTCTGGTGAGAATCTAAACAGAGCTCTTGACCTAGCGTTACGTGCGGTGAAAGCTATCGAGAAAAGCGTTGAAGGAGACAAACAAGGGCTAAACTTGGTCATGTCCTTGCATATCTTGGCAGCTATCTACGCCGGTTTAGGTAAATACAACGAAGCGGTTCCGGTTCTCGAACGGTCCATCGAGATACCGATGATAGAAGACGGCGAGGATCACTCCTTAGCAAAGTTCGCAGGTTGCATGCAGCTCGGTGACATGTACGGCCTAATGGGCCAAGTAGAAAACTCTCTCTTGCTCTACACGGCAGGTCTGGAGATCCAAAGACAAGTTCTCGGAGAGACAGATCCACGAGTAGGCGAAACATGTCGGTACCTAGCAGAAGCACATGTCCAAGCCATGCAGTTCGAAGAAGCCTCAAGGCTATGTCAAATGGCTTTGGACATACACAAAGAGAACGGTTCCACCGCTACAGCTTCCATCGAAGAAGCTGCGGATAGAAAACTCATGGGACTTATCTGCGACGCCAGGGGCGACTACGAGGTCGCTCTTGAGCATTACGTTCTCGCAAGCATGGCTATGTCATCACAGAATCACAGAGAAGACGTTGCATCTATAGATTGTAGCATCGGTGATGCGTACATGTCTCTAGCTAGGTTTGATGAGTCTATATTCGCGTACCAAAAGGCTTTAGCTGTTTTTAAGCAGTCCAAAGGTGAGAGCCATTCCTCTGTTGCTTCGGTTTACGTAAGGCTTGCTGATCTTTACAACAAGATAGGGAAGCTACGAGATTCGAAGTCTTACTGCGAAAACGCTCTTAGGATATACCTAAAACCGTCTCCGGGGACTGCTATGGAAGAGGTTGCGACGGGTTTTATAGAGATCTCTGCGATATATCAGTCTATGAATGAGCTTGAACAAGCGTTTAAGTTGTTGAGACGAGCGTTGAAGATATATGTAAACGCTCCGGGTCAACAGAACACGGTTGCTGGTATTGAAGCTCAGATGGGTGTGGTTTCTTACATGATGGGGAACTATCCTGAGTCTTACAACATCTTCAAGAGCGCTGTTTCGAAGTTTCGAAACAGCGGAGAGAAGAAGACGGCTCTGTTTGGGATTGCTTTGAATCAAATGGGACTTGCGTGCGTGCAACGTTACGCGATTAACGAAGCTGCGGATTTGTTTGAAGAAGCGAAAGGTATTCTGGAGAATGAGTATGGACCGTACCATCCCGACACGTTGGCGGTTTACAGTAACCTTGCCGGAACATACGACGCAATGGGCAGGTAAAGTAACATTTTTTTCAGTTTTAGGTTATGTTTTGAGGGTTTCTTGCGGTGTAAGTAATTGTGTTTATTGGTTTACAGGTTAGAGGATGCTATAGAGATATTAGAGTATGTTGTTGGGACAAGAGAGGAGAAGCTTGGGACTGCGAATCCGGAGGTTGAGGATGAGAAGCAGAGGTTAGCTGCGTTGTTGAAAGAAGCTGGAAGAGGAAGGAGCAAAAGAAACAGAGCACTTTTTACTCTTTTGGACAAGAACCCTGAGATTGAACCGAATTGTGGGCAGAGACCGGTTTATTGATGAACCGTGTTGTGGTCCGGTCGAAAATGTGTATATATACAAAATACGAGTTCATATATACGGTAACTACATGGTCGAGAGAAAAAGAAACAAGGGTTTTAATGTTTTCTGATTTTATTAGAATCTCTGATTCAATATATCAATACATTCATGTTGCATTTGTTTTTCAGTTTCTGTATCTATTGGCGTTTAAATTTTGTTTTTAATAAAGAGTAAGAGCAATTCTCGTAATGGTTCCTAATTGTTTATTAGGTGCAAAGTTGATACGATCAGCTTCGAAATTTCAGTGAATATTAAAAGTAGCCATTTTATAAAAGTGTGAAATCTTCTTGATATGAGTTTCACTTGACTTTAGGCAATGATCTGATTTTCATCAATCATTTATAAATGGAGGAAATATAATCTAAAGTTTGAAAACCTTTTTGGAAAGGATCACTGGTCTGTGTGAGTGAATAAAGTCTGCAACCTAGTCGAAAAAACGTTGAAGCTCTGTCATGTTCATGAATCTCATACAAAATCATCCAGATATTATCATTATTTTCTTAAACATCATGTTTTTCAGTGTAATAATACTATCTACATTTAATAAACATATGGTTTTATAAGAACCTTTTTGTCACGAAATAAGTGTTTGAGAGGGAGTATATATCTAGTATATACTCTAAACAAAAGTTGATCACAGAAGTTTACGAGTTCATATGCAAACGTTTATAATTTAGCTTATCATCTTAACTTTAATATTTAGCTTTTACCACAAAACTTAATATTTAGCCATTCACTAGTCTCTAGAGGGCATCATAACCAAATCTGAATCAAATATTTAAAATTGAGGCAATAAGACACAAAACTTTTTTGAAATAAACTGATTAAAGTACGCGAATGATAGCTGTAATTAAAATTAAAATTTGATTAAATACATAGAGCGGATCCCTTTAGACCGACGGAAGTGAATAATCACGGCTAGATTCGAAAAGAAAAAACAAAAACTTAACTAAAAACTTAACTAAAAAGAATAATAAGTATGTCCATCGAAATAAATGATAAAGGAGGCTACCATTGCTCTAACTGCGACATGTACTTGCACAAAGAATGTGCTGAGTCTCCTTCGGAGATTAACCATCCTTCCCACACGCGCCACCCCCTCACACTTCTCACGCATGGAGCACCAGATGACTCCCACATCAACTCATGTCGCTTGTGCGGAGGAAAGTTTAGGAGACTCATCTACCATTGTTTCCAATGTGAATTCAGCTTGGATCCAGCATGCGCCCGGAATTCACCACCGCTTAGTGTTGACCACCCAAAGGGGCATGAGCATGAACTCACACTCATGCCTAGGCTTATTTTATTTACTTGTAACGCTTGTGGGATGGTTGGTGACAGGTATCCTTATGTATTCCCACAATGTGATTTCATGATCCATAAAGATTGTATCTACTTACCCCGGGTCATAAACATCAATCGTCACCATCATCGCGTTTCTCGTACTTATTTTCTTGGTCTTAGAAATTGGGTATGTGAAGTTTGTCGTTTGAAGATTGATGGGAAATATGGGGCTTATTCTTGCTGGAAATGTCCTCAGTATGCTGTTCATTCAAGATGTGCCACGAGAGAGGATGTGTGGGATGGGGAAGAACTAGAAGATGAACCCGAAGAAGAGATGGAAGATGTTGAACCCTTCAAGGTGGTTGGTGAGAATCTCATTAATCACTTTACTCATGACGAACACAATCTAGAATTCAAAGAAGGTGGTGGTGAGGAGAGCATGCCTTGTCGCGCATGCGTCCTTCCTATATTTCTAGATTCGTTTTACAGTTGTGTTGAATGTGATTTCATCCTCCATGAAGCATGTGCGAATCTTCCTAGAAAGAAACGGCATGTCCTACATAACACCCCACTTACACTCCAGACACGTATTCCACATCACAAGCTATGCAAGGGTGTTTTTCGGTGCTCTGCCTGCAAAGAGTTCTCTAGCGGATTCAGCTACATAGGTTGTGGTATTCAGTTAGATGTGCGGTGTGGTTCCATCACTGAGCCCTTTGTTCACCAAGGTCATCCACATCCCTTGTTTTTCACTTTACCAGATCCAAAGACATGCGGGTCTTGTGGCATCTGGCAATATAAGGTATTGAACTGTATTGAATGTGATTTTCCTTTGTGTTTTGGGTGTGCTACTTTGCCATATTTGGTCAGAAACCAAAAGCATGATAGACATCCTTTAACGTTATGCTTTGGTGAAAAGGCGAGTACTGGTCAATATTGGTGTGATATATGTGAAACGCGATTGAATCCCAACAAATATTTCTACACATGTGAAGATTGTGCCACCACTCTCCACGTTCACTGTGTGCATATAGAAGGCTTGTTACACGTCAAACCGGGGGACAAGTTATCATACTTTGGCTATGGTTTTGAGATGGTTCTAGGAAATCGCATCAACAGGCCACGTTGTGAATCGTGCTACGAGCTATGCGTAGGTTCCTTTCTACAGAGCACTGACTACAAAAATATGTACGCATGTTCAAAATCTTGTTTGTATGAATTTCCCCAATGTTAAAATTTCTATAATATATAATGGAGTGGTATGTGCCTTTTGATTATTTTTTGTTTGTTTTAATTTCGGTTCACATCTCTTAAATAAAGCTAGCGACCAAAATGAGTTTTAACAAACGAATCCTCAGCCAGAAACATACATTGTTGTTTGAACTTAAACTAGACAAACACATGATTTCATCTGTCTGCGAGTCCCATTCACATGCGGCAATGCAGACAGACTATCGTCCCTTGCATCCACTTATACTCAATAGGCGGAGCTTAATTAGAAAAATGCAATTTTCTTGGAATCATACGAATCAAGTTATATTGTTTTCGTTTACTTTTGTGTAGTAATAATCACACGCATGATTGACCAAAAAAAAATCACACGGATGATGACCAATCCATTAAGTTCTGTGAATACATATTAGCAAAACTTTGAAGGATTTTCCGAAGCTGTGGCACGCTGTGAGGTCGACACGGACGCGGAACAAATGCCACGTCTAGTAAGGTTAAGTTTTTGATTATGTCCCCTTAACAACGTAAGATTGATTAAGATTTGATTTTTCTCTTTCCTCGTTTGAGCTTGTTAAGGTTATTTTAGGAGGTTATTGGAGATAAATTAAGTTGTGCGATGTATATTTAGTAGAAAATTTTCTAAAATTTCAGTGAAAAATTTGGAAAGCAAGCTGATATTATTTATTTATTTTGAAATATTATATATTACTTAATTTTTTTTTATTTATGTGCTTGATTGAATTAGATATATGCTAAAATTGTTAATATCAAACATTATTATTACATACAAATTAAACACAACAAAACAACTTAACATTTTATAGAATATTTTCTATATTTTCAAAATAATTTTTTTAGAAAATTTGTCTCTAAAACTACATTTTATATAATTTTTTGAGTTAATAACAATAGTAAGTTGCATTTACAAGAAAATGATGCTCAAACACACAAATTATCTATACTATTAAAACACAAGGCCTTTTTTTGAGGTGTCCTTTTCTTTTGCAAGTATTTACAGTCAAATGCCACTTCATTATTTTTAAGCTATGTTTTATATCAAAGCGGTTTTATCCAAGTAAAGTGGATATGACCCGATGGAATATTCTAAAACAATGCTTTTTATTAATTCTGTTTTATGAGTTTATTTTATTTATGCAGCAGAAATCACATATTTAATTAATGTAAACACCTAACAACTTTCGTTATCCGTTTATTTAAAGAACACCTGCCTATCGTGAATTAACATATCATAATTACAGATGTTTAAGAACAAACTTCAGTCAATATAACACACTGGATTTCAATTATTATAAAGAATATGTAGCAATTTTGCTATATTTATGATTTCTCATGAACACCAGTCCTTCAACGTTTATTAGAATTTGCAAACTTCCACTTAAAAATAATACATTAATATACTAATATTGTTACCATAACCATTCATCAGTTCCAATCATTTTCTTTTTACAAACGATTACATCAGGAAACATAATACACAAGCTTGAAGGTTTTTCAGGTGAAAATCGATTTTCACAATTCAAAGTTATTAAAATCTAAAATTATAATTTCCTAATTGTTTGAATATATTTGTGTGCACTTATATGTATTATGAAATCATAAACCCAAATTTTTTTTTTTTGGAATCTTTCATATAAAAGATAATATCAGTAACAACCAATCAAAAAAACAAATCGTGAAAATTCTTAGCTCAAATATGAATTATTGAATAAAATCTTATAGCATAAACACACATAATCAGAAGAAGAAATTACAAATATTTCACAAACCAATTACAATATATAATATAAGCCACTAAATTAAAAGCCAAAAAAAATTATAATTAACGAAAATTCCGGAATTTATATGCATAACAATAACGAATATTCTAAAACATAAATATCGATCTTTTTCAAATCAATAATCATATATATATATATATATATATATATATATATATATATATATATATATATATATATATAAATACTTAAATAAATAAAAAACTAAACTTACTCAAATAAACTAAAATTTCGGTAAGTTGTTAAATTAAAAACAAATATAGTAGCTGAGTATTCTAAGTATTGTCATATATTTAAAATATCAGTAACAACCAATCATAACATAAAAATCACAGAATTTAGTAACTTAAATCTATATAATTAAAACAAGAAAATCTAATCTACCATATTTTGAATAAACTTGATCCGCAAGATCACTAAACACACGGCTAATTTTAAGAAAAGATTTGACTTGGAATACCCTAAACCGTCGAATTTTTCTTTTCCTATATATACAGCATTTTGACTTCAGAGCAAACACAGATTTCAATACCTTTCTCAAGATGTCTTCTAAGAAAAAGATTGTGTACCATGATGAGATTAGGCCGTGTAAAACAATGGATGATTGAAGCCAAGTCATACATACATACCTGAAAACCATTGAAAGCCAATTTTTGTGAGACTTTAGAGATCATTCTTGCAGACAAAAAGGTATACATTGCGATATTTTTCGTTTCCAGTTTAATATTTGTTTAACAGAAATCGTCTACTAATTAAATTGTTATGCATTTTCTTCCACGGGGATCAGAGTTCATGCTACTTTTATGACGGACTATTTGTGATCTTTGGTGGATCAATGGATTGTTGCCAAATGGAAAACTACTGACAACTTCCAAGTAAGTAAACACATTACGGACCAACAAAAGGTATTGTACAAGATCAGTTTCATCAATCTGACGGTTATTAAGCCTTATGATTTCTAGAATGATTCCCTACCTATTCAGAATAGGTTCAATTCCTAACACAGTACTAATAGATCAGTTCTATTCCTTATATTAGTTCAAATCATATTTGCAGAAAAAGATAAAAACTATGGCATTTTTAAGTTTTCAAGCTTCAAATTCTTTTACTGAGATCTCGAATAATTTTTTATTCTTTAAAATTTCTTCCAGGGGATCAAAATCCATGTTACTTATAGGAAGAACTATTTGAAATCTTTGGTATTTGGTAATACACTTATCTTTCTAACTACCATTCTCAGTTCGAATCCTAATTACTAGAATGTTAATATTTTAAAATTAACTTACTTGGAAACGTATTGCAGAATGTTCACTGTTCCATGACCTTCATATGAATAAAGATCTAGCTCCAAAAATTGCACTGCACGGCCTGCACTTCAATTGTATACACTAATACGACAACTCAATAAAATATACAAATATCTGTATACTTGCGTGAAAGTTTCCTTTGACTTTGCCTCATGTCTTTCATCTTCAAACAACTTATTTTTTTTTCTGCAAAATTAAGAGGATACATTAGTAAACAGTTCAGATTTTACAAATATTAAATATATTATAGTTAACAGTTCAGATTTTTCAAATATTAAATATATTATACTCATTGTATGCGTTGAAATTTATGTAATCTAATAAAAATATACCTTTTTCAGGTTTTTATGACTGAGGTTAGAGTCACATTAATAAAGCTCTGCTTATACTCTTTGTCACTGCGTGACCTACTCTCTGTCACTGTAAGACCTGCAAATGAATTGTAAACATTAATAAGACAGCAAAATAATTTCTAGAACATCCTAGACAGTTACTAGGGTATAAGACAACTCAATAACCATTTACTCTGATTTGATTGTACTTTGGCTCATACACAGTTTATTATCTTCTTAAGAAAAAATATTATACTGAGTGAAAAAATGATAAAAAAGAAAAGGAGTGAAATAATTACATCTATTATATCTCAGACACCTCTGAATCCATCTTAATATCATCTGATGAAAGTACAAAAGTCATCGTTAAACATGCAAGACATTTACAAAAACATTAAAAATATTTAGATATGGGAGATATACACGTGTATGATCGGTAATTATTTAGCATGTTTCACAGGTATTTGTTTCTTAGAACCAGTAAGAAAACACCATTGCTACAAGCAAAATTTCAAAGAAAATAGTAAAAAGGGTTAGATTATATTTTTATTTAGTGATCAATCGAGTAAGACAAATGATAAAACTTTATTTACCTGAAGAAATAGGAAAATCTGGATCCAAAGTCTCCGAACTTGGTTTGTATTGAGAGACACTTTATTTTATCAGATCTTCTTCGGACATAAACAAAAGAACAGATCAATCAATGTATCACACATGCAACATTATCTGAAAAGTACTTTATAAAAAAAAAAAAACATTATCTGAAAAGTAAAAAACAGAAAGTTTTAGTTCGTAAAAAAATGGGTTTTATGTGCGTACGATCTAGAATCAACGAAACGGTCGGATTCGTGTTATACCTTCATTGATCGGTGCTGATGATGGATCATGTTGCATCCGTTCTCCGTTTCCTATTTCCAGAGAGAATCAGTTTTTTTTTTTTTTTTTTAAAGATTATTCTGGAAAAATAAAAAGACAGCTTTCTATTTTGTCTGTTGATACTTAAACATGTTTTGGGCCTGGGTTATAGAAAACAAAAGTTGGACGTTGATTTGTAATCCCCACTTACCAGTAGCCATTCATGTAATTCATTATCCTGTAGTCTTTAAAGCTCAGTTTTCATTTTATTTTATATTTTGTTAACATAAACATCGATAATTTTTAAGAAAAACAAAGGGAATCTAAATTGTTGACATACATAAGATTAACATTCAGATCATCATGGATATTTTTTTCTTATTCCTAAACTTCAAATCTTATATTAGTGGAAAATTTAGAAGCATATAATATTAAGATGAGAAGTGGGAAAGAGACTTATAATTTTTTCGTATATAGAAAAACTATGAAATAATATGTAAAAACAAAAAAAAGAAAAGAAAACTAATTAATCACTAACATTTTTATAAAAAAATTCTTATAATAATTAAAATATTATAAACTATGTTTTAATTTTCCGGAGTTCAGTTTTTTTTATCCGGACTATTGGATTTTCCAATAATAGTTAAAAAACTTTAGATATTTATTTTTTAGTGTTTAACTATTAACCATCTATATAGCGACGAGTAAGAGAAATATTTGAAAGTTTATTAACATATTAAAATATTCAAAATAGAATAAAAATATTAATTATCAGAATATATAGTATAATTTATAAATTAAAATATGCAAAACTCTTAATTACCCAAACTACCCTATTGGACTTTTGGGATTATTTTGGGTTTTTCGAAGTTTTTTGAAACTTTAAACATGACTCAACTCACACTATTTCTAATTCGGTTTCTTTTCGGGTTTAAAAAATTATAAATGCAAACCGAATCCTACATTACTCGAACTGAACCAATCTAGAAAACATTTGGTTCTCACACGGGTCCTAAACACCCCAACCCAAATAATTTGAAAAAATATAAATGTGAACCCTATTCGATATTACCTCGAACTGAACCGATATGAAAAATGTAACGGGTTCTAAACACCCAACCCCAAAACCCCAAAAGTGAATAACCCGAAAAGACTTGAAATAAAATCTGAGTATCTAGCACTATGAGATGAGAATAAAATTATTTATAGTTAT